CAGGAGCGGTCAGACCGGCCCCAGGTGCCGCGGCCCACCGGGAAATTTCCCGGTATCCCGGTGGGCCAGTCCGGCCCTGCAATCAAGTCACAGGAGTTACAGTTAAAGAGAATATCTAAATACTTCCGTTGGTGTTGTTGAAGAGTGGACGGATTTAAAGCTTCTGTAACTTTTGGCCCAATTATTAGAGAAGTTATTCATCCATGAATTTGATAACAGTGATGGGTCGGCAAGGTGGAGCTGTGATTTCTCTTTATATTTTTGCATGGAGATCAATCGAAGTTGTTTGGATCACCAAAGATTTTGAGTCTGTTAATCACTAAAAAAAGTTATAATAATAATAAAAAGAAATCCATAATCTAATACTATTATGAGGTAATTCGGGAATTCCGCAAAAGGCCACTTCATGCCTACTTGTCCCTGCAGCTTTAAGGTACGGATTGAAATTTGTAAGAAACTAAAAACTGATTTATTTAACTTTTTACCACAATATTTACTGTAATAATGCTGCCATTTTTACCTATAGTTCACCACTGTAATATATTGTACTTGCATGTAGTTATTAATATTTTGGCGGATATGTATAAAAGAAATGTCTGCTTTGCATCCCTCCCCCACACTGCTGTGAATTCCTTCAAATAACTATCTCTATTCCTGAGGCCCGATTTCATTAAGCAACTCAAACAGCCACTTCATCTCTTCTATGATATATAGATATAGGTATGACAATCATATATGTGGGAGACAATCTTGCCCTTGAATGGTTTGTTAATAATTAAAGGAACACTATAGTCACCAGAACAGCTACAGCTTATTGCATTTGTTCTGGTGAGTAGAATCATTCCCTTCAGGCTTTTTGCTGTAAACACTCTCTTTTCAGAGAAAATGCAGTGTTTACATTACAGCCTAGTGATAACTTTACTGACCAATACTCAGATCGCTGCTAGAGGTGCTTCCTGGGGCAGTTCTGCACAGTGTGACTGATATTCAATGTCTCCACCCTCTGCATGCAGACACTGAATTTCCTCATAGAGATTAATTGATTTAATGCATCTCTATGAGGAGGTGCTGATTGGCCTGGGTGACATTTGGCTGCACATCCTGCCCCACCTCCTTCGCAATCTCAGCCAATCTAATGCTTTCCTACAGGAAAGCATTGTGATTGGCCGAGATCACCACTTTTGATGTCAGCCAATGAGGCACATAGCAACAGCAGACTAGAATAAAGGTAAGATTTTACTATATTTAGGCAGGGAAGGGGGAGCCAGATGGGAGGTGGGAGGGGTGGGGGGGATGCAAATTGATGTTTTTAACATTATAGGGTCAGGAATACATGTTTGTGTTCCTGACCCTATAGTGTTCATTTAATTAAAAGCCAAAATGTCAATAATGTCCCACAATACACATTGAGACCATTTTGCATCCTTGAATTCTACATGATTAATCAGATCAGTTCTAGGACATACATGTCCTGGTCTTCCCACGGTTGATGGACATTTCATTGCAGGATGTAAATGGAGCCCTTAATGTCAAGCAGTGAGAGGACATTATTTGCCAGAGATTAGTGTGAAATGTTCAGGCAGCGTCCGCTCTTTGAATTTCAGCTTCTCTCCGATAATGATATGGAAGCAGAAGAAAAAAAATATATACATATATATATATGTTAAAACGTTTATGACATATGTATTCAATAAAATGGAAAAGCCACATATTGTTTGTAGGCATAAAAACGATACTGGTGTGATATCATTGCTTGCAATCCGATATATAGAATGACTTATCAACCCATTTAAAGAATGAGTCCGATGGAAAACAGAAATAAATAAAATAGTTTCTGCTTTTATAACGATTATCACAATAACAGGAAGCATTCCTACACATTGGATCAGAATAGATTTATAGACGGGTTTCACCCAGAGGATCACACAGCACTTTAGCTCACATTTAGCTGAATCAGCAGGTGATTAGCCCATGTAGTGCCAGGACTGAGCAAGTATCCGGTCCCCTCAACATAGGAAGCAATGACGGAGGGAAAAATGCCCAAATTGCACAATAGTCAAATTCCGTGTCCTGGATGCGGCCTCGAGAGTCACTAAGCATACTCTAAATGTAATATTCCCAACAGGTAATGTTTACGGGGTTTCAAGATAACAAACTGGAATCATACATTGTCAGATAAAGGAGAGTAAAGCAATATAAAAACAGTTTTATAATAGCAGTATCTATACAGGAACAATCCAGGCCCATAAAGCAGTTTGAGTGTGTCCTCTTTTTTCATTGTATATAAAGTGCAGATTTCAATAGCAATTGGCATTAATATAAATTAGCCTGGTTACACCCCTGGCTGTCAATCATACAACCTGCTACTTCCTGGTTTGGTTAGCTCAGTGGAGAAAGAAAAGTGGCAGCAATTGCCCAGAGCACCTGCCTTGTAAAGACTACTCCTTGAGCTGCACAGAAAGTTTTGCTTGGGTTAGAAGCGGAGGGCTTGCAAAGGCTAAAGACGAGAGATCTCTGCACATCACCTCAATGAAAACATGTATTTAATTAAAACCAAGGGATGAGCCAGGTACTAACGAAACGCGTGGGTCAGGGGCTCTAAGACTCCCATCTATATATTCGATCAGTAACTTTCAATGAATCACGCTATTAGACGTCAGCAGCTGGGATTTTCTTTTTCCTTTCACCGATAGCATTTTAGACTGTAGGAGGAAGGGAGTCTATTAGATTTAGCTTTTATACTGGGACTTTCTTTTCAAGGCACAGAAAGGGCGTAGACTACAGAGGTAGTTTTATAGGGACTTTTCATTATGGCTATAACTTTCAAGTAATTTATTAAGGTATCATTTTCATTCATATATAGATACCTTTCTCTGTTTAATACTACTGCTCTCGAGACACCAGGTCAAGGAGACTTATCTCCCTCTTCCTTTCCTTTACTATTTTTATTTCTATTTACATTGTGGTCTCTCTATTTTTATTTATTTAATTGTTTTAGGACATACCTATTAAAAGTCAAGTTTCAAATATTACCTATTTACTTTCACTACTTAATATGCTGTTTTCAAAACGCTCCGTTCTCCTTTTTCCTCTTGTATTTAATTAAGCATTTTTTTCACTGGGTGTATATCTATGAAATAGGAAGGTATTCCTTGTGTTTGGGCAGTAACGTGTCCCTTTAAACAGCTGTGAAGGCCCGGACCTACTGAGATGGAAACATAACATTGTAGGTAGAGGTTCCAAGTGAAGGCCCATGGCATGGAAATATAATGTAGAAAAGTTGGCAGAGGATATGGGGAAAAGAAAAAAAGGAAGAAGGGGGGACAGGACAAAAAAACAAAACAAACCAGACCCCACACAGAAGTCTAAAAGGAGGAACATTGCCACATTAAGGTCATTTTTTTTCTTTATATCTAAATCTTAATTTTGATTTTACAAGTACTTTGAAAACAACACCGGAGTTATTGTGTAAGCGTATACAGCAGAAGTTTAAATACAGTGAGGGAAAAAAGTATTTGATCCCCTGCTGATTATGAACGTTTGCCCACTGACAAAGAAATTATCAGTCTATAATTTTAATGCTAGGTGTATTTTAACAGTGAGAGACAGAATAACGGAAAAAAAAGAAGAAAAAAAAACGCATGTCAAAAAAGTTATAAATTGATTTGTGGTCGGTTAATATCGTATTGTGAAATACCTTGTGATTGGAATTAAGTTGGCGTGGTGTGCCGGAACCGACGTAGGGGGTAGACCTGTAAAAGAGGGCCTCCCCGAATGAATTGTATAAGAGGGAGAGGTAGGTGGGGTGTACAGCGTGCGTACGGCAAGGTAGGAAGGGGGGAGCAGCGTTTATATAGGAACACTAACTCCTCCCACAAAAACAGGCCTTATGGCCTTAAACGTGCGGTCGGTTAATATCGTATTGTGAAATACCTTGTGATTGGAATTAAGTTGGCGTGGTGTGCCGGAACCGACGTAGGGGGTAGGCCTGTAAAAGAGGGCAAAAGGAAATGCAAGAAAACACACGTATTGCAATATAATTACCAAATAAAATCAGTTTGCCTTACTTCTTATCTGTTAGGAATGTTCCTGTATAATGTAGCTGATTTCTAGTGACTCTAATTATTATGTGTACCGGCGTACTGCTAATGGACGCCGCGCTTATTGAAAGGATGTGCTAGATAGGAGCCAGTGGTCCCAACCTACTCTAATGCAAGGAGTATGAATGTAGAACCGTATTTAGAAGTAGTTAGGGAATGATTAGTAGGTCAAGTGTCTTGATTGTCTGGTTTGAATGTTGGCGTGACATGAGGTAGTGTCTGTATCTTCTTAAATCTTCCTCGAGGAGACATGATTTGCCAGTCTGATTGGTTGTGATCGTGGAGTTGTAGGTTCCGGAACCCTTGTACGGTTGCAGGCACATAGATTTAAGACCTGGTTGTGTGGTGCAGATGCTGTTTAGGGAGTCTGATACTGCCCAGAATTCCCATCTGTGGATGTACGTTACTGTAGTTATAAACCAATTATTTATCTTTTTATAGTTTGAGAAACACTGTAATATGCTAATAGGCACATTACTGTGAGTTTTATTGTTGTAGAGAGAATCTGTGATAAACTGGCACATACCACATAGTACTATAATAGTTTTTTTTAATCTGTGCTAACTTTGGCAAATGGTAGGTCTTCAGCTAGCAAAGCATTGTGGGATTTGTATGACAGGTGGCGATCTACTTTTTTATGCAGCCTTGTGATAGGGTGCCCCCTCACAACATTCTTGTACCAGGCCCCTTTCTTCTTTTGTTCCTCCTGTGTGTAATTAATGTTCAGTTAACAGAGCAGAAGAATCACAGGGAAGGTGTGGTTAGGGCTGCATAAACAGAAACAAAAGTGATTTAGGTTTCAAAAAGGCTTTATTCAAACATAAACATTTCAGGGTTTGCCCTGATCAATGTACAACAGCATGAATCTATAGATTGAACAAGCAAACAAGATATAACGGACGCGCAGGTCCCATCGTAGAATGTGTGAACATCACTTGAACAATGTTACGTATTATACCTATATGGTATTTGATCGTGGTTAACACGTTAGAATATTCATATGGGTGACCGGTTTGCAGCTCGAGTAGAGGAATATTCGTATGTTTGTACTTTGTGTCTGCCTTTTGTGTTCCTTTAATATTTCCTTATCACCCCTGGCTCTTTTCTCTTTGGGATGGTAAAGGCTATTGGTCCGTCGTTATTGGTCAGTTGCCGTTCCTGAGTGTGCCTTATTCGTGTTGTGTGATCCCATGATAGAGGTGTTTGCTTCCATTTTGATATGTGAGTGTGAGTGACACAGCTGTTAGCAATCTCGGGTTGAGGAGGGCTGCGTCTGTTATTCAATTCGTATAGAAAATATTGTTGGAAAATTTAGAAAGAAGATGAGTGAAAAATGAGTAAGAAGTAAGAGAAAGAGAGAGGGGGGATGAGGAGGAGGAAGCGGGTTGGAGGAGGGATGGGTAGGGAGGTGTGAAGAGGCGGGGGGTCCCATCGCCCGTGCCCATGGTATTGCACGTACCAGATGTCAGTCCCCATCTGTGGGGGGGGGGCGCGGGGTTCCCTGGGGCTGCGTATTTATCTTTTTATATCTTATGTTAAGACGGGGTATGGTTTGAAAGGCTTGTCAGAACGTGTTATTGTATGTCAGTTTGGTATAGTGCGATCGTGTTGTATGAAGGTTGGAATAAAAGGTGGCAAAAAGCAGAATAGACTACAATTGTACGATGTGCCTGTGAATGTTGTGTTCCACTGAGTCTTGTAAGAATGTCATGTTCTGTCGTACGTATTCTTAGTGCAATTGAAAACGCTATAGGTGATCACTTGTTGTCGAGTCCCAATAGCCGGGTGACCGAATGAGGGCGTTAAAATGCAGATTATGAAATGCGGAAAGTAACCGTGATGACAAGGAATCGGGTGTTGTAAGTTGGGTGAGGTACTAGGCCAATTGACTCTTGACCAGGAATCCCTACTAGTTATGTGTATGTATCCACCTAGGATAGTGGTTTAACTGTACAAATTGGGAGTTGGTCGGAACAAGGCGGATGAACTCAATTCCGAGCTCTATTGACTCCCTTCTACCTGACCCGGACTGCCATGCCAAAAGGACCTTCTAACCCTGTTTCCGTCAGTCTGTGAACCATCTACCCCAAGGTTAAGAAGGTGAATGATTGTACTGAATATGTTGCAGACTGCCATGCAGTCAGCCTAACCTTCAACTAGCCTGCTTGACTAGGGGTCTGTCCGTTAATGCAGCTACCTCTATTGGTAAGCTTGACTAAGGCCGGTATTGCCATAGACTGAGCGCCACTTAACCGGCAGTCCCCAACCAATAGTTTGTAGAGATGAATGGTCACGTGGAGGAGTTGGAGATCTCCGTCCTGCTAGCTGCTAGGCCAAGTAGTTACGCCTGCCCATAATTGCTACAAATCCCTAGTGATATAGTATCGAGAGAATTGGGTGATGATTTTTAAGGCAGAGGATGTGACTGAAAGCGGAGCAGACAGAATAATGGCGAGGCGATGTTTATTAGTATATCCGGTGGCACACATTAAATAATACGTGATTAGCTGAGGAGATATGGACATTTAGGGTGCACAGTGTGAGTGACCCCCACCTAGTATAGAACCCGTGTAATGAATATACCACCAAGTGCTGGACGGACATGACTCCTGACAACGTTAAGATGAAAGTTCTGAACTCATGATACAATGTTTTTGGGCAGACTGTGTTGACATGAGTCCCAAGGCATATAGCACATATGTGAAGTAGCCCATAGTTGGCAGACCTACATATGGTAAAAATCATTGCAAATAAGCGGGTGAGTACCCAGACCGTGAGGAGGTGTGAAAGGTGATGAGGGGGGCCATTTCTGTGGGGTGGAGGGAATGAGCGTGTGTGAAGGGCCTATATATAACGTATTCAGCAAACTGAGTCGAGGTTGATAGGAACCGTAAGGTTCATATTACAGGGAGGTAAAAAAAAAAAAGATAAGAAGAAGAGGAGGAATTGTGGACGTGGGATAGAAGAGAGAGAAAAGTATGAGCAACCCAGTGTAGTTGTTGGAGATGTGGATAATAGCATAGTAACCATAGACCCTGAGGGTACTGAAGAAACTCAGGATAGCATTTATATAACCCTGAAGGGAGATTTTCAGGAAGGCGTTGTGCCAAGAAAAGCATGATAGTATCAGAGGGGGAGATGAGGGTGTTAAGAGTGAGGCTTGTATGAAACAGGACGACTGTCCATAGATAGCGAGTTTGAGTAAACGTATAGCCCCCGTACCACAATACCCCAACGTGTAAATTCGTGGCCTTGATGAGGCAGTAAATGAATGAAAAGTATCTGTACCTGATTGAAACCTGTAGACAAAACAAGCCAGTAATTGACTGGTAATAGAATGCTGTCTTGGACCTGAAATCAAGGTGCAGTTTAATAAAGGAAAAGACAACCCTAAAATATAAGTGGCTTCTAAACAGTATTAGATTATGATGACATGTAGAAGGGCAACACAGTCAGTTGTACAAGTAGATGATAGTAGATAATCTATTTAGTGAATTCCGTGATATTGCCTATAGAATTATAATCATAGGACCTGAGTGTGCTGAAGAGACTAAGGATAGTAATTATTCCCCTATAACAGTGATGGCGAAGCTATGGCACGCGTGCCTCAGGTGGCACGCCGGGCACTCTCTGTGGGCATGCGGCCATAGGTTCGCCATCAATGCAGAGTAGGCACCTGCCTGCTCAAAACGGCAGGCGCCTACTCTGCTTCCGTGTCGGAAGGCAGGGGGAGGGATCTGTGAAGCAGCTCCCCTGTCCTCCCGTGAGCAAGCTGTGTGGAGCATTGCCGCGGGCAACGCTCCACACAGCATCGCGCGGGAGGACAGGGGAGCTGCTTCACAGATCCCTCCCCCTGCCTTCCGACACAGAAGCAGTACTTACCACCACCGGACCACCAGGGATGGCTGTGCCCCCCCCTCTTTCATTAAAGGTAAGAAGGAAATACTGATTTAGTATACTTTTATTTTTTTTTTTAAAACACGTTTACCGCCCACACCCCATCCCCACACACAGCACCCCTACCCCCCACACACACAGTACCCTTACCCCCCACACAGCACCCCTACCCCCCCACACAGTACCCCTACACACACAATACCCCTACCCCCCCACACACAGTACCCCTACCCCCCCACAGAGCATCGCTCCCCTCCCCAGCACCTCTTCCCTCCCCTACACCCAGCATCCCTCCCCTCCCTTACACCCCCACACATCACCTCTACCCCCCAAACAGCACCCCTACCCCCCAGACACAGCAGCCCTACCCCCACACAGCAACCCCACAACACAGGGGTGCTGTGTGTGGGCTGCTGTGTCTGTGAGGGGTGCTGTGTGTGTGTGTGTGAGGGGTGCTGTGTATATATGAAGGGTGCTGAATGTATGTGTGTATGTGTGTGTATGAGGGGTGCTGTGCTGTGTGGGGGGTAGGGGTGCTGGGCGGGGGTAAGGGTGCTGTGCTGTGGGTGGTGTTTGGAACTTTCCCACGCTATGTAAAAGTTCCAAATAACTTTCCCACGCTGTGTAAAATGACACAGAGCACTCTGATTGGTGGATTTCAAGCCAACCAATCAGAGTGCTGTGACAGGTAAATGTAGAGACTTACCTGTCAGCCTCTTCATTTACTTGTCAGAGCACTTTGGTTGGCTTAAGTAGGGGCAGAATTGAGGTGAGGGGGCAGAATTTACTAATACTAAGTAATCTTTACTTCGTATTAGTAAATTTGTCTGAAAGACCAATTGAGGTCTTTCAGCCTTTTGATAGATAGCTCCCTGATACTGTGGGAATTAGGGAGTTAGCCACTAAGCGGCTGCAAGATGCAGCCACGGCACAAATAAGATCGGAGTTTTATTCATTTGAATGAAATTCCGATCCAAACAAAGTCCCGAATTGCGTCCTAACATGAATGGAGAAACTGTTCGGTAGTTTCGCCAGCGTTCTGTCTAAGTGGTATTCGGGAAAAGTGAAAGGAGGCTTTGCGGGAACATGGAGGACAGGTGAGAATTGTGGGGAAATTTCTCTGACCACTGGAAACAGAGCACACTTTGCTCCTCCGCTGGTCATGGCGTAGGAAACCTCCATAAAACAAATAATCCCTACTTTGTCTTATTTTTTAAAGAAAACTAGAGCCGACAGGAAGAAATGAAGAACAGATCCTGAGAGAAGGAGAGAAGAGGAATTGATTAAATAAATGATCGGCATGACAGTGCTGCTTTAAATTTTGATTCAGTGCATCTCTTTGAGGAGATGCTGATTGGCCAGCGTGGCGTTTGGCTCAGCCCCCTGCCTTGCCTCCCTGGCTAAGATCATCAGCAAGTCCAATGTGAAATCTGAGGACCCAGCAGCTGTCCTGGGAACTCATCCACAGCAAGGTCCTGAAAGGTAAGTAAAGCTGTCACGAACGCAGCCTACTCCAAGAGTGTGCGTGACGTAGTTGTGGTGGTGAAAGTGTTAACGTTCACTATTTGTCTGCACTAGACAGGAAATAATGACAAAATCACCATTTTAACACCACCCACACTTAAGCATAATACTATAACTATTTTAATGCTGCCACCACCAAGACAATTTATAAATGGGGTGCCTTGGTCCCCCATTTAAATCAATAATAAAACACACCAAATATTACTTAGCACAATATTTAAGGAATTATAAAAAATACTAACTAGTCTCTTCAGGTAACGTGATTCTTAACCAAAGGGCAGAACTGAATAAATGAATGTTTAGTATGAGCAAAAAAATAGTCAGCGTGCATACAAAAATATATGATAAACAAATTGTTTACACCAACAACAGATGAAAACAAAAAGGATAAAATACAGAAGTCCTAATTACTCACTTAGGTTTTCAAAGTACAACTTCTGTCCAGGGGGTCTCTGGCAAGGAAGGAAAGATGGTGACTCACTTAGAATTAGATTCTGACCCCCAAGCAAGCACACCAAGACCTTTCGATATCACTTGTTATATACCCTTTAGATTCATCTCAAGTTCCCAGTCTTCCCAGAGGCGGAGATAAGGCGCACCTATAGACACAATAAGTAGCCACTCCCTTGTATTCCAGACAACAACAAGCAAAATATAACATTTTGGTTTTATCTCCTCTACTTTACTTGCTACAGAAATAATAATTGCCTCTATGAATTTGTTACCAGTTTCCCATTCTGGGGATATATCACATGACGTACGCGTGACCTAATAAAGCAGACCTCACAACCCCTGCCATCCTGTTTAAGTTGTATAAGTGGTGTTTAGACTTGATTTAAACGCTGTGCTTGTCCCATTCTAAATATAATAAAAATGATGCGTAATTATTAAGCTGTGGATAAGTATTAATGTTTCTCTTGATTATGATACTAGAACATACTGGTCTGCATGAAACTAATACCATTACCATATCAAAGAATTGAACTAGCCATTGATGGTTTCAAGCCAGTTAGTTTACACTGAAACTACACATACCAGCGGATTAAGTGTAAAATGTCTCACCTTGCAGGGACTTTGATAGATCAAAAAGAGCAATCCGTTTCACACCTTGCAGAAGCCCCTTTTGATCAAAAGAGCAATTTTTCTCTGCCATTTGTCCTCTGCACAAGTTATATTAAATATCAATATTCCATAGTGCAATAATAAATGATGCACCCTTGCCGTGACAAAAGCTAGTTTTGTACTTTCATTATAGTTAGTGCAGTCACTATGCACAGGCACACGGGACATTTAGAGTTAAGTAAGGGTTAAAATTGGAGTTGGCTAAATTATTTGGTTGCTGAACGGCGCCAGTAGCCCCCACTCCCTCGGCAACCTATGGCCGCGTGCCCACAGAGAGGGCTCGGCGTGCCACCTGTGGTACGTGTGCCATAGGTTCGCCATCACTGGTCTAGAGGAAGTTAGCAGGCCAGTTTGAGTGGGCAGTCTGGCACCAGACAAAAGATGTTAATTAGTGCAGACATTTGTACGAGTTTTTTCTAAACGTAAATCTCAGTATTCAGGTTTAATTGCAGTGTTTGCACTTTGAGGGGAAAAAAAGTTGCCATGTATTGAAGTTTGGGTTCACCATCATCATCTTTTGCCCCTTCCACAGCTCCTCTGTGCAGTGCTAATTTTTGGTTGAAAATTTCAATTTAGTTTTAGTTATAGTCTTTTGACTAAAATGCCATTTTAGTTTTAGTCGTATTTTAGTCATCTGAATTGTTTTAGTCGATAAAATTAACACTGTTTTGAGCAGGGTCCTTAACCTATTGTTCCTGTAACATTTTGTACTTTCATCTCATTTATTGTTAAATTTCCTCCTCCTATAATATTGTAGCATGCTGCGGAATATGTTGGCGCTATATAACTGCCAAAAATATTAATAACCGCTTAAAGGCAAAAAAGTTCTCAGCCCAAAGTTCAAATTATCCTACTTGGATTTAAAAGTACAATTTTTAAAAATGAATAAAAAAGGTGGAGATGACACACATTGACTGGTTTTATTGCAAACATTTTCAGTATAAATTGAACACGAAAAGAAGACTTTAGAGAAAAAAACCAAAAAGAAAATCAAAACAGCTCCAACTGCGTGTGAATATTATATACAGAACACGAACAGTATTTGGAGGCATCATTAATGGACTAGAACACGTAACATAATAGACCGTAAACTCTTTAAATAACATTACTAGAATCCTGCCAATTACAGGATCTTCAAACTGGCCAAGAAACCAGAGACTTAATGTGCAAAACATTTAAAATGTAACAAACGTAAACAAACACAAAAACCCAGGCATTTGTTTGCGCCCCCTAATTAGCAGCTTAATTGTCAAGGGGTACACGACATAATACTATCCACAAGTAAAAAGTAAATACAACTTGGTGAAAATCCTGCAAAGAAGGACATTAATCCTGCTGGGAGAAAAGGAACATTTATAAACAGATTAGCTTCAGAAAGAATCTCTATAATTTCTTTTTTTCTGTAATTCTGACAACTAATAATATGAAGGATAGAATTCAAAAATAAACAACCAAATACTCAGAACAGTGACTTAGAAAGTGCCTAATAAATATGGCAAAAGTGTTAAAGGCCATGAAGGTGACCGGAGGTAGGACAAGAATAGCAATGTTAAAGTGCCCGTTGTAACGTAGCAGTGTGCATAGCAGCACATCGATACGTTCTCTTCTACAGCAGATTTAGGGGAGACTCAGTAGTTTCTTGCTGGTGGAGGTGGTGGACGGTGATAGGGATGAAGCCAGCCAGATCTTGGCCTAAAATGTTGCTTCATTGCAAATCTATGCTGGCCTCTTAATCCAGGAGGCTGCGGCCTGTGCTGTGGAAAGCTGCCGAAATTCACATGGGGCAAGTGTTGGTGAGGAGTTCCATTCATGGACATGTCGATTGCATTAAAGGGATGATTCCTTCCATTAGAACCTGTGTGAATAGAAAAAGAGGCAAGTTCAAATATACATATACACAGCAAGAGATAAACAAAGGCAATGGCTGTAACCTAGAGAAGGCCAAACATCATGGTGTTCCAGAATAAAAATGGTAAATAAATGGCACTTTGCCAAAGACGTAGATACATATTGTTTAAAGCTTCCTGATGGTGTAAATGTCAGAACAAGAGGTTTGTCATCCAAGTCTTTGATAGAGTACCTTTTAGTAAAATAAATAAATCAAACATTTTGTTAAATTAACATACACACACACACACACACACACACACCTTAATACAAAATAAATCAACAAAAAATGCTCGACTCCCAGCATACTGCCACTACAAGCGTGGAGGGTCCATGACACGACATTACAGAAACACACGTGTGAGTATTACTCTCAGGCTGGGAACGCTGAGCAGTCGTTGAAGGGAAGGTACTTAATTCTTATATAGCACCCTTATCCAGAACACATTATACTGATTAACAAATTCTACAATAATTGATAACATTTTAGCAACAGCCATTGAATTGCAATATAGTTTTATATAATACTTAGAAACATTATAAAAATAATTACTTCTACTTTTGAACACATTAAGATCACGCCTTCCCAGAGCCCTGCAATGATTTTACAACTTACACACACACATGCTTTTATAAATACACATTCATACCTATCATCACATGCTGCATCGACAACACACATTCACACAAAAACACGCACACACACACACGGTGGAATAAGAATTAGTGCACAAGTAACGTATTAGTTAGAGGGAAGTTAGTGAGGAGCGGTTTGCACACATCTCTAAGTGTAGGTATGCTTCCATGTCTAGTCACCACCCAATGATGGTTTGTAATGTACACAATGACTGAACAGAATATTACTCACAATGAGCTGCCATTGGTTACGTAATGATTGTACATATTACTGATTGCACGGCCATTGATTACCTAATGATTACCTAATGATTGCACAAAGCTCGATTATCTCATGAAGTGAGTCAGGCTACAACATTGTTTGTGTTTTACTTTTCTATAAAGCACCCACCTCAGTCTGCCCTTCTCTCTTCTTTTTTCATTTGCCCTGCCTGAGGACACTTCCAGTCAGGGCAAACGTCCCTTGTAGAGCGGAAACACTGGCTTTGTTGCCGGAATGCTGGGATCTGAACGAAGTGACGTCACTCCGTTACTACACTGCCTAGCTGGCGCAAACAGTATCCGCTAGGGAGTTACAACTAGAGTGCATGTTTTGTAGCTGCTTCTTAGAGAGCAGAAGGACTGCCTGTGGGAGTTGGTCATACTATGCCAAAAATTGACTGACAGATGGTGTAAAGACCTGTATTTCATCGGTTTTCTCACAATTTATACATTTGCTGGGATGTACAGAAGAGATGAAGTGTAAAGCTCATAGAAAAGAGCACATGTTGTAGGCCCCACAAAGGGCCCCCTTTAAAAGACTGTAGGATTTGGATTGTGGGGAGATTCTGTAATGTCACAATGTCACTGAGCACATATGTGTTTATTTTGTCACCATTTATTTTGCATACATCTTGCTACAAACAAAAATACATTTCGGTTACAGTTGACCTAAAAACAGGGGTGTCACAAGACCGTCAAAGCATCATGGGGGGTTGCAGCTGTACTACAGCTAGAGAGCTGCCTTTTGGCCACCACCTATTCATAATAAGGTGAAAAACCCACCCTAAAAAGAGATTTATGTGTCCTACAAAGAGAAAACTAAATCTTTCTAAATTGGCCAATAATAACGAATCGGTCTGGAGAAATATCCTGTTTCAGCAGGCCGTCTTACAATCAGTAGATACAAAGGAAACCTCACTGTACCTGCACAGAACGAACGACAGTCTGCCAAGTACTACAGAACAACACACAGTAATGGTTGAGAAATAACTGGTTTCCAAGACATGTTCAATAATACATTTAAAGGAGGTGAATCAGAGTTCAAATGACAGAAAGAAAGGAGTTACTCCAAGATAATTATTGAGCTTAAGTTGTTGATTTAATTAGAACATCCCTTTAAACAAAGTAGTTTTGGTGTATAGATCATATCCATACAGTCTCACTGCTCAGTTTTCTGCCATTTTGTTAAATTACATGTATTTCTATTTATGCAGCCCTAGCCACACCTACCCTTGCTGCGACTTGTACAGCTTGCATGAAAAAAATATTTTCAATCAGCTCTTACAGCACAGAGTGTTTACTTAAGAAGTTAACATCTCCTGCTCTGTTAATTGAACATAAAAGCCACGCAGAAGGCTGCTTTGCACTGCAGGATATAGGAGATTCTAAATTAAAAAGACTGTGCAAAAAAGGAAGCTTAATGATTTAGATTCTTTTTAATGAACTGTGTAGGGAGACTAGTGGGTCTCAGCCAGAGGAGGTGTGCCTAGGGCTGAATAAACAAAGTTATTTAACTTCTAAATAGCAGAGAATTGAGCAGTGAGACTGCAGGGGCATGATTTGTACACCAAAACTGCTTCATTAAGTTAAGTTCACTTGGAGCTTAGATTGTCTATTAACCTACGACTGTCACCGAACCTGATATAAAGAATCAGAGAATAAGATTAAAAGATTTAAGAAACAAATTTGATTGTCATTAAGATACAAGATGATACAAATAAGAGGAATAGTAGAAGCATGATTATTAGGAATAAAAGAGTGAGGATTGGTAAAATCACTTTATTTAAATGTGGCCATTGAGCCTGGTGTCCACAGACAATCTCACAATCTTCAAAAAGTGGTTTAATTAAACAATAATTATTGTCCGGAATTTTACACTGAAATAATACATGTTTGATTAAATGCACTCTATTATGGAGTACAATTGTTGGGTTTTTTTTTTTTATAGCAATCCCTATTGTCTTATAACCAAATTATAATAAATAGGATGTGTACACAAATGTACATGGCTTTAGCATTAAATTTCATTCTGAAAGGGATTATCTCCTTTTTCTGGTGTTAAGGTTAAGACTACAAACTCCTTTTAGGAGACAAAGCCTGAGACAGACATACAGACTTGTGTTTAAAGCGGCACGGTCATGTCGAACTTACATTTCCACAATATATTCCTCTTCTCTGCCTCTGTCATGATCTGTTTGTCATTTCTTCCTGCCTGCTCTAGTTTTTTTTTTTTTTTTAAACATAAGACAAAGTAGGGCCCCTAAATGAAAATAGGGGACCTATTGCCCCCCCACCGGCCCCTACCCATGAGTGGCGGGTGGGGGCCCTTAATGAAAACGGGGGACCTATTGCACCCCCCCGGCCCTACCCATGAGCGATGGGTGGGGGCCCTTAATGAAAATGGGGGAGGGGAGTAGTTATTGACCCCCCCGTCTCCCACCCATAAGCGGTGGGTAGGGGCATAA